TAGAGTATGATTCTTTTAGTATCCAGGAGAGGTAAGTTGTCAGGAAGGGAAGAGGGAAGGGATGACTGGGAAGAAGCCCTGTGATCAGGCACTGCAGTGTGGTTGCTGAGAGAGGGGACCCTTGGTGAGACTGGAGCCAGTGGAAGGTTCTACAGCTGGAAGCTCCCCCTTGTGCTCTCTGGGGATCTCCCCGAATTCAGTTTAGAAACAAGGATCTAAAAGTTACTGGGAAATAAGCAGATGGAAACACACGCTGCTCTTGTACAAAAGAAACAAACCAGTTTTTTAGAGGTAACCCATTTTCCATGGCTAAACAGACTCAAACACTACTTACTCTAATTGACTAGAACTCTAGGCTTTATTTGACATAGAAACATAACATAAAGGCACCCTGATACAAAGTGCATGGTAATATGCCTAATTTATTCATTTTTTTAACTCAACTAGGGTTCAGTACTATCTGAAAAATAAAATACACACATACCTACAGCAAGCATATAGTATATTTATTTGGAATTACAATACGACCATCATGTTCATTATTTTTGACTTAATTACTTGAGAGTTGTTATTGATAAATGTCACAAGTAGAAAGTATTGTCCATTCTTATTGTCATCAGTATATAGCTATTAGTCAGTAGCTAAAGAATATCATTATGTGAATGTCTGTAACTTGGGATTACAATTTTACTGTGTTAAGTAATCAAAACCCTGCTTATAAGATTTGTCTGTATCTCATTTCATAATTGAATAATGAAACTGTATTCAAGTTAACGTAACATTGATGTCTGCCAAAAAAATAATATGCTAGCAATAAAAAAAATCTATGTGGCATTATAATAGGTGCCTGTCATTAATTATTGTTTGATTTTAAAGTGGATTTTCTAGACAGTGAATATGTACAATTTATTGAGAATTATGTACTCACCTGACATAGACTTGTACATATGGACTACTTAAATACTATGTCTAGTCCCAGAATACATTTAAAGTCTATCTTACAAAGTAATTCTTCCACAACTAGAACAATCTCAAGTATTTCCCACTAAAACAGTTGGTAAAGGCTGTCTAAATGACCAACAGCTGTTATAATATCAGCTACAATATTACAAGTACTTGAATTTCCCGAACATTGTTCTGCCGTACAGATGTGCACATTAACCCAGTAGTTGCATATGCCCGGTTTGCTATAACTTTCTATCTCTCCGGGGGTGTCTTTGCAATTCTCTTTATTTCTATCTTGTTCAAAACTGAAATGAATAAGTGATCAGTGCTCAAAACTTTTCACATTGTATGGCTTGTCTTTTAAAATTGGAAAATATCTGCCTCCTGTGCATGTCCATGTACTAGAATACCCCACCTCCAGATAGGACTTGCAGACACTTTCACCCCATTCCAGTTGCTCTTCCCCTCTTTGCCTCTATAGCCTTCTTCCCCTGTGGCTACGTGGCCTCCAGGGTGGGCTCTCAATTACTCTCTATTCCCCTGGTTTTCCCCAGTGAATGACTCCTCTCCCCCACCATAGTGATTCTAAGCAAGGAGAGAAGGTGAGAGGTTAAAATCAGCCTCCAACTAGCATTTCTTCTTTACCTGCTGATGAGAAATAAAAGTCTATATCCTACCAACCCTGAGTTACATTATTTTACCTTGGCCTCAGGAGAAAGAGGAGCTGGGAATGTAACCTGTTGGTCTCCTCCTACTGGACTATAAACCCCTTAAGGAAATGTTCACGTCTAATTTGATTTTATCCTTACAACCACAATGTGAAGTGGGCAGTTGTATCTCCCATATTACTTCATAGAAATTTAGGATCATCCTAGGAAGTCGCTTTCAATCTCCTCAAGTACACTTAACCAATCCCTCTTCTGAGACCTCCTTGTGTCCAGGAAAGCTACTAGTATAGCACTTGTAATATTTTATATTCCCACCTGTATACATAAAGCCAGCTCTGTTCACTCTAGCCCTTACCGTGGAAGGAAGGGTGGTACAATGCATAAAAAAAGTCTTGCTGTCAGCTGGTCAGGCACACACAATTTTCCATAGTTCCGTCCTCCAATTTGTGGATACATACATTATTTATTATTTTTTCTTTTTTTATACATACTTTAAGAGCATCAATTTTTTGTATCTATGTTTCTCCCAGTAAAACCATTCATTTATGCAACTACTGTGTATAAGGTGCTGTGCTTAGACACACAGTCACCTAACAATCCTATTGGCTCTTCCTCACTGAGCTTTGTCAATATTGGGGAAAGAGCAACTAGACACCAGGCTTTGTCAGTCTTGGGGAAAGGACAACTAAGTGACTGGAGCAAGGGGTTGGAGTCAGGTGGCAGCAGCTGTCTGAATAGAGGACCAAGTGCAGGGTAGAAACTGATTCTTACACATGCCACTCGAAGCCAGGTGTTTGCAAATCAGTCATTTCCATGTGTCCTATACCATTTGTACTCATTTCTAATCAAAGAACTATTCTTTCGTTTAAAAAAAAAAACACTTGAATTTTAAAGTTTTTTATTAAGAAGTTATAGCTTCTGTATAGCTCATGCTTTCAGTAGCCATGGATCAACCAGTTACCAAGCAAGAGTATCACTTGAATACACACATTGCACCACTTTATTAGGGATATATTTTCATGGTTATTGCAAAAGTGAAACCCATTTTATCATGAGATCTTTCTGGCACTTCAGCAAATGAGTATTTGGATTGTAAGACAAATCTATTTCATATTTTTTTCTGATCTCCTCTGCAGAGCTTGGAGAGTTGGGTTAATTGGTATCCATTGGGCATTTTTTAAGGATTAGGCTTTAGGTAATTTATTTTCCTTCCTTACAAACCTCTAAATTAGGGGAGTTTGCAACGATCTTGCATTTTGACCTGAGTTGTTGCTTGTATCTGCCATTCTTCTACGCTCCCCTAACAATTGGGTGATAAAGCTGGAGTGCAGTTTTCCACTGGTCTTGCACCATCTGACACACTGTCATTGTTTCTCTTCCCTTATTGCCATCAACAACCCAGCACTGAGAAGACCTAAATTTTTTTAGAGCCCCTACAGACCTGGGCCAACCAATATGCCAACCAAGGTGTTCACTGTGATCTAAATGTAACAACACTCAGTTGTGGAAAAAACAATCCATGAGTGAATGTGGGGTTTGGGTTTTGTTTTTTGTTTTGTTGTGTTTTTTGCTGATTTATGTTTAACTACATTTAAAGCATTAATATGTTTAACTACACTCATTCAACAATGTCTCAGAGACATTGTCCTTATTATAATTAAGTAGACTCTCTATCTTCTTTTTGCTACTTTTTTAAAAAGATAGTTTTAAATGTTATCCTTCATAAGGCACTATTTTATGGTAGGTGTTTTTGCACATATTATCTTATTTAAATGTCTAAAAGAATTTTAAACATTATCAATGCAGTTAAATCTTTACATATTGATATATTTATTCACATGGATTTAACAATTTATCACCTGTGGAAGACTGACCAAGTTTTCAAAAAGGCTTTCCTTTTAAACAATAGAAAAAAACTGTTACGGTCAGATGGTACAGTACAGATGGTAACATCTCCTGATCATTAACTTGAGAAGTGACCTTGTACATATGCATTAATATGTATCAACATCTGGATTTAGGGTAGCTACCGTCCTATGGATTTTGATTGTCTGCAAAGCTAGGTATAAATTCATGGTTCTGCCTCATGTGAAAAATAAAAATAATCACTAAAGACCAAATTACTTGAAATATAAAGGTAGAACACATTCATAGCTAAGATCAGGATCCTTTGTGGGGGAAATGGCAGATTGGTTTAGCAGGTATAGAAGCTGTATAAACACTAAGCCAAGGGCTTCCCTGGTGGCGCAGTGGTTGCGAGTCTGCCCGCAGATGCAGAGGACACGGGTTCGTGCCCCGGTCCAGGAAGATCCCACATGCCGCGGAGCGGCTGGGCCCGTGAGCCATGGCCGCTGAGCCTGCGCGTCCGGAGCCTGTGCTCCGCAACGGGAGAGGCCGCAACAGTGAGAGACCCGCGTACCGGGGAAAAAAAAAAACAAAAAAATAAAACCACTAAGCCAAGGATTATGGTGATGATAACTAAAAAATCAGCATTAGGAAATGAAAATTCTTATTGCTTAAAATAACCATTTTAAAAACACTTCCAGTCTTCCTCCTTTAATTAACACTCTTCTTAGAGCCTGAACTGATGGGGGCAAAAGGACTTGGATTTTATATAAATTACAAAATTGCTGTTCACTTAATCTGCTCCACTTTTTAGGCAGAGAATAAATCCCATTGTTATACTGAGAAGAAGAGAATGAAACATGTGACATTTTCATTTCTTTCAATAATCATTCTTACTATGTTCTCACTGAATTAGCCTGTTGGGCCAGAGTGGAATTCAGTTCTTGTATTCGCCATGCAGCTTCTTCCCGCGAGGAACGTGATTCAGAGACAATGGCGACTTGATATTTAACCGATCCCTTTCAGCCTCCTCTTCCTCATCGTATCTTTCATCCTCATTCTCATCCTCCACATCGCTGCTCTGAGGACTAGAGACCTGAGATCCTGAAGGAGAAGGTGGTACTGAGGAAGGCCTGGGATATTTAAACCCTTCTGTCTGCCAAAGACAAAAATAAGACACAAAACATTAGAATGGCTTTTTGATTTTTCAATGATGCACACACTTGGCATGTGCATTTCATAAAAAAAAACACAGTTGGGGGCTTCCCTGGCGGCGCAGTGGTTGAGAGTCCGCCTGCCGATGCAGGGGACACGGGTTCGTGCCCCGGCCCGGCAAGATGCCACATGTCGCGGAGCGGCTGGGCCCGTGAGCCATGGCCGCTGAGCCTGCGTGTCCGGAGCCTGTGCTCCGCAACAGGAGAGGCCACAACAGTGAGAGGCCCGCGTACCGCAAAACAAAAACAAAAACAAAAACCACAGTTGGATTTTTTGGTCTGTTCAGGGGCTATTAACTGATTTATCTTGATTCTGGTCCAACCAAGCTCAAGAGAGACTCCTTAAATAAATAGCTTTCTTTTATCAAGCACTGAAATATGCCAGGGGCTATATACATGTGATCTTATTTAATCTCTGACCAATTTGTTCTTTCCGCTGACAGAAGAAAATTGAGGGTCCAAGAGGCCAATGATTTGCCCAAGGTCAAACGGCGTGTAAGTGGTAGAGCAAAGAGTGGTTCCAGGGCTGTGATCATCCCAGAGCCTTTAATATCAACTGCCATGATACACTGTTGAGATTATCAGTCTCTATGTCATCCTTCAGATTTGCTCAATCCAATTCCAGAACATGAGCAGCCTGGATATTCCATGGACAACACCCACTAGAAAGATTCCTGGAGTTCAGGCCACTTCACTGACCTTAAAATTCCACCAGTTCCTTTTATTTCAGTTAATGAGCAAACATCACTAGGTTTTAATCAGTTGCCCTTCTACCTGAGATGCTCTGAGATAACTCATTTGATAAACACATACTAAGCACCATCTATGGGGCAGGAGGAAACAAAGATGAAAAACATGATCCCTGCTCTCTAGGAGTGCAGAAACTTCATCAATCAGGAAGACAAATGTGTAAAATTGTTACAGCACTTGTCACTCTGAATTTCAACTATTTTTAGACATTATTATGTCATACATGTATGCTCGTTTCAAGGCTCAGATACTTTACCTGAAAGCAATACCAAAAAAAATATAAAAAGAGCTGAGTCCTACACTTAGGGAGCATAGGAGCTCAATACTTATTATTTGAATTAGTTGAATAAATGAATGAATATAGCTGAATTATCATCAAGGGCAGTGACCACCTCTAAATAAGCTAAGCAAGTCACTCTGTTAGAATCATGGACATGGGAAGTGGAATTTGTATACTGAGGGATTTGCAAAACTCTTTCACTTTCTCTATGAGCAAATTTTCTCTTGGGTTAACTTTCTAGATCTGGTCCCCAGACACCAAACAGAGATGGAATATAAGGTATTAGGCAAAATTGTTTATAGTGAAAGTGACTCCTGATCGGAAAATTACATCTGCTTTTGGAGGATCTATAAATACTTGATGAAGGTCTCTAGTATTTGGAAATCCTTGAATTTGATGACTCTTGTAATTGCTCACGTTCCTTGTGGAGACCATAGAAGCGTATCTGTGAGGATTTACAAGAGATGTTGGGTCCTGTGGGGTGTGGAACTGCTAAGCTAAAATGGATCTCATAGTCAATGATACGGGTTTCATCTTTTACACCTATGTTTTCACCTGGTGAGTAGGGAACAGAGAAGTTTAGCTCTTGGACCTCTGTGTAGACTCCTGTAAGGACTAATTCCACTGAAGAGAAATGCCTGATACTGCCCTACTTCAAGCTGTGTTTCCTTCTAAGTGAATGTGATGACAAGTAATCTGCTCTAGCCTCAAGAATATAAATGTCTAAGGGAAAATTAGAGGAAGACTCCCTGGTGGGCACTGCTGAATTTCCATGCATAAATGTTCATCTAGTCCAATTTCTCCTGTGGTGTTCGAATTCACTATTACTCTTGCCAAGGCGTCACCCTACATTTAAACATCTCCTTGGATAGCAAATTCACTTCCAATGAGAGCAGGCCAGTTTATTTTTTGACAACCCTCAAAAGAATGGATGTCTAAGAGAGGTTTCAGGCACTAAGGCAAGGAGAGTTTTCATATGGAAGTGCTTCTCCAGTGACATGAATTAGCTGACTGCTCAGCCTGTGTATATAAGCTAACTCTGAACTGAGGGCTTAAGAGTTGGTCTGATTTGTCAGTTTCTCTGTTTGCTTTGTAGCAACACTATGAAAAAGTACAATAGTTTGTGAATTTAGCTACTTCCAAATAAAAGGTATTGTTAGGACTTACCATATGTAAGACATTTAGCTTTCAAAACAAATAAACAATACATAAAATATTTACCATTGGGGGCGATGTGGTTTCCGTGTGGAATTTATCTGGAAAAGCTCTGCTTAACGTCAGGTGCCTGGCATGCTGGTAATACTATGATAGAAAACCAATCCATGGGTTAAAAAAGATGTATATTTATATATTTATATCTCAATAACCAAGTTGTTATATAAAATCTTATTCTCCTACTTATAAATATATATGTATTTTTTAAGTGGCAGATTTTATTCATCCTAAATTTAAGAATCAGAAAAAATATGACAGTTTATAGCTTTATCATTTTTCCGGGAATAAGTAAAGAAATACTATCAAAAATTGGAGGGGAAGGACATACTGGCTTTACTGAACTCTGAATTGAGCACTAAGGCGGCTGAAAACACTGGTTTCACTCTATAGAGAAGCAGTGTGGCATGGAGAAAAAGACGGGGCCTGAATAATCAGACACACTGGCTTTAAATCCTGCTTCCGACCTTACGTAAGAAACATAGCTTCTAAGGGGCTTATCATCCTGCTTTCATTATAAAATGAAGACAGCGAAATTAATCTTCTTGGGTGGAAATGAGCGTGACTACTGGCCCTAGCGTGTGTAGATACTGAGCTGATGGTTGTATCTTTCATTTGTCAGCCAGAGGTGAGCAGTATCTAAGCAGATACATTATGTGAAGGCAAAGTCAATTTAGTTTTTTTTTTTTTTTTTTTTTTTTTTTTT